GGGTTTAGGGTCTAGGGTTTAAGGGAACCCTTTTTGCTGTGGGTTTGGGGATTAGAGACATGTTAGGACCAGGTTAGGACTACGGCGACTATGGCATATGGTAAAATATGGGGGTAGAAGGGGTAGAAATAGTTAATAGGCTGTAATATGGTAAACCATGGTCTACTATAGAATCATATGGGGTAAAGGCTAAGGGATCAGGGCGCCCAATAGGGCTTAGGATTGGGCAGCTTTTCTGCGTGTTTCTGAGAGTGCGGGTCCACAGCAAGCGTCGAGGTGTGCGATGGATAGCTGATGAGGGAAGTGTCTGAATTCAGTCAAGCTTTGCTAAAGCCTAGGCAGCCAGAAGCTCAGAAGTTCTTATGGTTTTGTCCTGCGCACTGTACCGTTTCGCGGGGCGGGCACAAACTCAATGTTCCGCGTCGGCTCTGCAGATCCAGATGCCCCTCTGATGCCGCCAGAGACGATGCCTTCTGCACAGGCCAACCATTCCGTGTTCATGACAAAGCTTTCAAGTCTTGGAACCGGCACTAAGCATGACCAAATCGCTTCCGCGTGTCGTTGTTCGGGACCGTATCACAGGATGCCGTTGGAGGGTGAGAGCTCTCCAGTCAACTTGGTGAAGTGGGTGAGTTGTATATACGAGTATATGACTGAAGCAGGCTGTGTCCGTCTCGGACAGTCTTCAGGGCCATGCAGCCAGCTTCGAGGCATTTCTGTGTGCAGCTTCCGCGCAGGTTGCCACAAATTTGCAATTTCTTGCTGTCAAATGTAGACTTGCGACATATTGGTGGAGTGTTTTGTGGTTTTCGGCAGGCTGCGCAGCAACCGCATGCCACATCCAGACAGCTGACTGGCCGAGAAGTTTGGGTGTGGGTAGGTTTGTGAGTCGTTGTTGCTGTTGCTGGCGTGAAGGGGCTACGGCGCAGGTTTATCGCTTCCTGGATCCGGAGTTCAGCAAGTTTCATGGATTTTTCAACGAATGGAGCATTGTTGTGAACTGTCCCTGGCAGCCTTATGCGGCCAAAACGTCAGTGAGTAAACACAGGTCGCGGGGAGTGTGAGTCGTAACGAATCGTAGGCAAGAGAAGCGCTTGCAGACAGGGCCTTTGACTCCAACAGAAGCAGATGGGATGTGCAGTTGGAAATTGCAGTGGTGCAGAGAACGAAGGTCGGATGCTGGCAGTGACGAACTGAAACAATCAGGACCAGATTCCCGAGCTTGAGCGCAGGATAGCTACCCTGGTGTGAGCAAAATTCAGCGGAGTTGTTTTCCCACATGCTTGTTTATAATTATGCTCGGACAGTCATTTATCTTGGGATGCGATTATTTGGTGGTGTTCCTCAACGTCTTGCCTTGCAGCCAAGCCTGCATCCCCATGGCTGCCAAAACCCGCATCCAGGACCTGAGCAGGGTGATGTCCTCTCGAAGCAGAGCATGGATGCGCGAAGCTCGTTTTGGTCAGCCGTGTCAACCGGGTGAAGTTGCCGCAAAGCATGTCACGCCGACTCTCACGGATCCGGGTCATGAATGCTGTGACAGACCAGATGCAGCAAGTCTGCTTAGCCTTTGGCCAAATCTCCTACGAAGCAGAGCCTCGAACGTTGACGGTCCCAGTCTTCCCCTCCGTTGCTCGTGCATTGCTTGAGGTTCTCATGACGTTCATGCAGGAGCAGATGAAGCACTTTGAAGACAGGCTAAAGATGGAGCTGGTACCTGGGCCTGCCTTTGAAGACTATCGCTTGGGACGACAACGACTTGTAAAGCCCCCGTCCCGGTGCCCATTCCCTGCAGTTTTCAGTCCCGAGCCAAGCCCAAAGTCTCAAGCCTGAAGCCCTAAACCCTAAACCCTAAACCCTAAACCCCTAAACCCTAAACCCTAAACCCTAAACCCTAAACCCCTAAACCTAAACGCCGAAACCCCGTAGAACAGGCCCGACCCGTCCCAACCCCCCAAGGCCCAGGACGCTTGAAGGATCAGGAGATCGGCTTTGTAAGGTTATAAGTCACGGTTTAGGGTTTAGGGTTTAGGGTTTAGGGTTTAGGGTTTAGGGTTTAGGGTTTAGGGTAGTTACAAGGAAGGTGACTATACCCATAGGCCCCATAGTACTTCCTTGTTGTGGCTTATACTTAGGATCCTATCAGGGAAGCCCCAAAAAGGAGCTACTATGGGGCCTATGGGTTCGATGCCCCTCAGCCTCTCCTAAACCCTAAACCCTAAACCCTAAACCCTAAACCCTAAACCCTAAACCCTAAACCCTAAACCCTAAACCCTAAACCCTAAACCCCTAAACCCCTAAACCACAAACTCCTAAACCCTCCACTTGCGTCATAGTGCTTTTCATCCTGCTCATGTCCACGACCGTAATACTTAGCAACAGTATCCCCCTAGCATTACAGGATCCTTAAAGGAGGGTGGCTCAAGCGGGGAGGGTCCTAGGGAGCTTTAGGGAACCTAAGGCAGTACTAGGGAGAATTGGGGATTACTGGGTTATATACCCCACTTAGAACCCCCTCCCTTAAGGATTCCATAATAGCATGGAAACCTAGCAACCAAGCCCCCAAAACATCGACACCGTACTGTAAGCCGCAAACCCGCATTGATTTCGGGCCCTAGACCCAAAACCCGGAACCCTAAACCCTAAATCCAAGACCCTGAACCCTAAACCCAAAACCCAAACACTATAGACCCTAAGCCCTAAACCAACAGAGCCGAAAATATAATCCCAGGTTCGGTCAGATACCTGAGAGTCTTGGGATCAGCCATGCGCCGCACCCGAATCGGACAGGATTTGGGTTCCGCGGGGGCTTAGCTACCCTAAACCCTAAACTGTTAGTGGATGGTTTGGGGTTTGTGGTTTAGGAGCTTTGGGCTTTAGGGATGAGGGTGTAGGGTTTAGGGTTTAGGGTTTAGGGATGAGAACTTTTAGGGGTTTGGAGGTTTGAAGTTTAGGGGGATTAGTTTGAGTTTAGGGTAGGTTTCGAGCTTGAGGGGTGTGAGCTCTTCAGTTTTTTGTGTTGCGGGATTTACAGGAATTTGCCGGTGTTTATCGAATTTTGTCGGGTTCCGGGTTTGGGATTAAGGATTTAGGGTTTACGGTTTAGGGTTGATCTAATTTTGTCGGCTTCCCGATGGTCAGTAGGTGGCGTTTTGAGGTTTCTGGAGTTTGATAGGGAAACCCTACACCCCAAACGCTGAATCATGAGCCATGGCGCTGTAAGGTTTCCTTTCTCAACCGCTGGTTACTCTGCGAGGTCGCCTTTAGAAAGACCACCGGCTCTCTTGCCCCTATACATTTTAGGGTTTAGGGTTTCGGGTTTTGGGTTTAGGGTTTATAGGGTTTTAGGGTTTAGGGTTTAAGGTTTAGGGTTTGGGGTTTAGGGTTTAGGGTTTAGGGTTTAGGGTTTGGGGTTTAGGGTTTAGGGTTTAGGGTTTAGGGTTCAAGGTTCCCA